TTTTCTTCAATTTTATAGCTGACGTTTGAGCAAACAACACCCAGGGGTGGAATTTCAAATATCAGCATGCAAGTGTCAAAGAAATATTCAAACGTTTGTGCAAGTGAATTGGTTAAGTAGCTTTACAAGCGCCGGAGACCATCGGGGACAAAAGAGAATTTGATAATTGAATTCTTATCGTCTTTAATTGAGTGTTCTGTGATGTGTTTGCGCTGCTCTTCAAACAGTGTGAACCAAGAGTCCAGTTCAGCACTTGAGCCCAACACATATGAGAACCTGCAACTGAGGAGTTAATAATTTATACAAAAACACACTCCTGGTTAATGGTGTGTGTGTGTGTGTGTGTGTGTGTGTGTGTGTGTGTGTGTGTGTGTGTGTGTGTGTGTGTGTGTGTGTGTGTGTGTGTGTGTTAGAAAGAGAGAGAGATGATCTGTGTTGCTGAGGCCTAGGTGTCTTGTTGAGAGGACTCGTGTCACCTCAGTGTGACTCCATGACCTTACCTGGTCAAACACACTTAACCCGCTTAATCTGCAAGTATAAAACACAGATACCTCAGAGTAACACACAAATCCACACACTCACATACTTACACACACGCATCCCACAATAATACTGTACCTATTAATAAATATAAACTCTGAATATATAGATGTAGACCCTCATGTAGGATATACACAACTTTACCTTAACCAAAATATTATAAAAGCTTACGAAAACCCCATAGTAAACCAAGACACAACAAACCAGTACTGTCATTTTCATACGACACCAGATGATGTACAAATAAATTGTTTTAGTGGGATGTGCATGACGTGATCTGAAATTAGTGGCCAGGGAAATGACAACAGACACACAGAGAATCAAGTTTAGTGATGAATAAAGTTTCAGTACGGTACAAATAGAGTCATCAGACGCAATCAGAGGTCTTTATGAGCTCATTTCACACACAGTGAGGTTACATTGATTAGCATTGTTTCAGCGTGACCATTATCACCTGAGTGGATCCTCGATGATCAGCCCGATCAGATAAAACAAGACAAACAGGTGAGGTCAGCAAGAACACACGCGGAGGAGATGAAAGGCCATTTGTAAAAAGAATGATGACTTCCAGCTTACTATGCAAAACTGCATGCAAATGGAGAATACCAAGGAGTACAACTGAGTGACGTGTGTGTGTGTGTGTGTGTGTGTGTGTGTGTGTGTGTGTGTGTGTGTGTGTGTGTGTGTGTGTGTGTGTGTTTCCTTGGTCTCTGTTGGCTCATATTGACAGGGTATTCTGCCTCCTGGGTTTTCCTGCCTCCCCATTTGAAGTCTTCTTCCTGGAGCCAGGAGTCTAAAGCCCCAGTGTGTGTGTGTGTGTGTGTGTGTGTGTGTGTGTGTGTGTGTGTGAGGAAGAAGGGCCAAAGTAAGTCACCGACCCCCAAATGATTGAGTCTCTGCCCCAGCCAGGACGGGGACAGTTTTCCTGGTGCCTGGTTTGGAGACACACACACACACACACACACACACACACACACACACACACACACACACACACACACACACACACACAGACACACCTTCCTCTGCAACAGTCTGCCGCTGTCCACCACATTCCAGCATCTCTATCTAGTCCCTCAGCCAACACCTCCTCATTCATACACACTGACAGCAAACAGACAGTGCGCGCACACACACACACACACACACACACACACACACACACACACACACACACACACACACACACACACACACACACACACACACACACACACACACACACACACACAGTTGCAAAGAGTCATGGTTATAAACACACGCGCGCGCGTACACACACATGGTTGAAAGTTTTGATGAGCTCTGGCCTCTGTCACTGTCAGTGATACAGCCTGGCATGTGCAAACACACAAATCAAAACACACACTGTACTGTGGAATAACAGAAAGGAGGATGAACTCTGTTTGATTTTTTGGTATTTTTGTAAACTCTTCACCCTATATGAGCTCAGATTAGACTGTAGGGTGTCGTAGTTCATAACAGCAGCCCCGAAGAAGAACGACACCAAACTCTGTTGCTGCCGAATGATGACCGAGTGATTATCTTACCCACTAACCTTCCCATAATACAACCTGCAAGACTAACAGAAAAATTCCTCCATGTTTCTTTTGTGATATCTCTTCATATTTCAAGCTCTACTACGTCAATCCATTCCCCTCTTCACACTGAACCTCTATATATTAACTGGAACCATAAAAAGCATGATTCATCTCTGACTTTGGTGCAACTTTTGCTCCCGTCGCAGGCGAACAAAAACACGCCTTGATATTATTAGCCAGCAATTGGTGGATGTGTTATCAGCCTGCAGTTACACATTGATGACAGTTCCCCATTTCCAATGAGGCAATACTGCTCTATTCACCTGGACTTCTACAAGAGAGGGTGGGGGGGGCAGAGAATCAATACTACAGTATAACTAATGTCACTGAAATGAAACTTCATGATAGATAGATAGATAGATAGATAGATAGATAGATAGATAGATAGACAGATAGATCTATCGATTTTTCTGCACCTGTTACACTGAAAAAAATTCACATTTTATTAAGTTTTTTTGTTTTAATTGATCTATTTGTAGGGGATCATGTAAACTATTAAAACATATGTTTTGCACCAGCGTTCACGTAAATCACAATTTACATTCAGGCCTCTTGAGGGTCAAACAGCCGTCTGTCATGCCCGAGTTAGGACACGTTTCTTTTTTTTTTTTAAATTTCATGTAGTTTAAGATATTTTTTTCAGATTGTTTCCTCTTTTTAAGAAACTTATTGGTGTTTTAAACGATTGATCAGCCCAGCAAAGGACACAGACATTAAAGTTTTTCATTTGATTTTATTGCTCACTTGTATTAGTTGCACTTTTCAATAGGCCCATTTCACAGTATCCATTTTAAGGCCTTATATAAGGAAAACTTGAACTGTAATTACCAGCATTAATGAGAGGTTTATTCCATTTAGCTGGGCCAGATCCAGGGACCCTGCTAAAGTCCATGCTGACACACTGGCATGTCTTACTTAGAAAACAACTTTGTCAAACTGCAACATTTCTGAATGTGGGGGAGAAAAGAGAAGAGACAGTCACAATTAATTTCTTGTTATGTCTCATTATTTATATCCCTGTATATTCACTGCAACTTGGATACACTCATTGAAGAAACACATTTCCTATGATTTGTTTCACACCTCTGAGTTAAACTGATCAAACTGACTTTTTTGATAAATAGACCTCCTCATAGATAATCATGGTCTAATAGCCTTCTATCAGATAATATACAAGATGGTGAATTTTCCTTTCTGCATTATGAAGTCAAACTGGCTCCTTCTACTATAAAGGCAACTGTACATCAATCACAAAACTGCACGTACCCCAGCTCCCATCTGTTTCAGGCACACACGCGCACGCGCGCGCGCACCGGGGCCTTTATTGGCAGCCTGTGTAGAGTCACATAATTCAATGAGAGGCTGTCAGTGGGAAGTGGCTGCACAATGAAATGGCCTCGTGTGTTTACGTTCACTGGTGTTGATGACAGGTATAAATCTGTTTTCATGAGGACAACAGCCGCCGGAGACTTCCGACTAAGTTGGCGCGTCAAGCATCCAGCACTATCCTTCATGTGTCATGAGGAGAAAAAAAAATCGGCCTGAGCGAAAGTTTCATATAAGACTCGAAAACACCAGTTCAACACAGCGTGGAAGTCAAGACTTTATGACAAGAAATTGAAACAAATCAGTGGCTCGTGAGACCCTCCAGGTCACAGCTGATATATTCACATATGGGCAATAGGATCTTTACAGACACGCGCTTTAGAATATTCCTATTCCTATTCTCTTTAGAATAAGTTTTCTGTCGGAGAAAACTTTGGGAAGGTGACTTGAGTCGATCGGTCAGAACTCTTGATCACCTACCAGAATAATCAAAGTTTCGTTCATAATCTATTTTAGTCTTGTAAAACACCAGCCTGCTGCAAAATACTTTTTTAAGTGGCTTGTTTTTTGTTTTTTGTTTTTTTGTTTTTAAGTTAGCTACAACAAGATAGGAGAAATATTTAGAGGACACGTTTGCAGATAAGTCAGATATCAAATGATTATGATTGTACCTATTACCTATTTTTAAATATATCACGTCACACACTTACACTCACACTCACACTCACACACACACACACACACACACACACATCATAGTGATGTTCTGGAAAAGATAACACGGGAATAAAGTTATCGCCATTTAGTGGAAAACAGGCGTCGTTTTAATGAGCAACTTTGAAAAAGACAAACAAACCACCCAGAGGCATGGTGTATATCTGACGCATCATTTATCATTTCAGATTAACGAAAAAAATAATGGTCCAGTTTGACAAATGGTAAGACGAGTTGGTATTTAGAGGAAAAAGTTTAGAGGAAAAAGTTGCTTAAAGGATCAATGTTCAAAATGTTTCGATTTACAGATAGTTTAAAAGATTTTAATGATTTAGAAATAAATATTTATCAGGGAAGAATACAGACCAATGCACGACCAACAACCCTGCCCAAAATGTTCTTATGCCTAGAACTCAAAAATAAAAACATTTAACTCACAAATAAAAATAGATTGAAACCCCACAGGGGAAAAAAAAAAAAAAAAAAAAAAAGCACAGCAAAAATTCTTATTGATCCTATATCCTATAAGTCTATCGTATAAGAAAGCAAAGACATTTTTTGAAATCTCTGGTTGGCATCACTCAACTCCACGGGACCTCAGATAACCTTTCAAGAGGAAATAAAAATAGAACATAATTTGGTCGGTCGACTTTTTGTAAGTTTTCAAGCTTCATTGAACTCGGAATTGGAGAGAGAGAGAGAGAGAGAGAGAGAGAGAGAGAGAGAGAGAGAGAGAGAGAGAGAGAGAGAGAGAGAGAGCGAGAGAGATGATAACAGCTGGATCTTGATCACAGGGTATAGTCTCTCACTCCTCCTCCTGTCTCATGTCTCCTCTCTCTTATTCTTAACTTTGTGTTGAACGCTGCCGAGTGCTGTGCTCGACTGAACAGCAGATCTGATTTTAATAAGGACGAGGGGGTTCAGCTGATTGCTTAAGACCACATAGTTTTTGCATTAACACTCAGTAATTTTGTGCGTAACTGCATCCACACTATCATTATCCCTTCTATCAACACGGATGTCCAGCTTCAAGGAGAGGATATGTACCAGGGCATAATGACAACCAACCACGGACCCCCTTCCTATGAGGCCGGATTTCTCCACAACGCCTCGGCGGGCACCTCTCCGGTTTATGTGCCCACCACCCGGGTCGTCACCCCCATGATCCCGGCGCTGCCTTACCTCCAAACGCCCGATGCGTCGCAGCAAAGCAGCCCCGTGTCGAGCCACTCTGCCTGGGCGCAGCCGGGGGCAGACTCGGTGCCCTCGTACAACCACTCCCCGGTGTCTCCGCGTTTCACCTTCTCCACCAGCCCGCCTCTGTCCTCTGTGGTGGCCACGGCCCGGGAGACGGCAGCCTCATACAGCAGCCCGCTAAACATCTCTGCAAACGGGAGGGAGCACTACGGCGCTCGGGGCTTCAGCGGGTCGTACCACAGCCCCTACCCGGCCTACATGAGCCCGAACATGGGCGGAACGTGGCCGGCGTCCCCCTTCGATAGCTCGGTCCTCCACGGTCTCCAGACTGGTGCTCCTCCAGGCACAACACGGCACCCAAACATAGGTGAGAACCAGGAAAACAAAACAAATTTATTTTGGCATTTAAATATCTTGTGTGAGAGTCATGCAAAATATTTTCTGTTTTTCCCGCAATGAAAAGCTGTTTGGACTTTTTGATATTCCAGACAGAAATAAGCCTCAAGAAAGTGGAACGCAGCAGCATGTCTCTGTAATTCATTTGATTTGTCAGGGATTAATGAAAATACACTTAATAAAAATACGCCTGAAGGAGGTGAAAGATTGAAAAGACTAATCGAAAAAAAAATTTTTTTTTTTTGAACAGAAATATCTTGAAAAAAGAAAAGAAAAGAAAAAAAAATCTTGTTGCAGATTTTAAAATATAAACCTGCATTATTGCAATAATATGCTGATGATAAAAAAAATGTTTTGTCACCTTGTATCAGAAATAATTAATCTAATCAAGATTATTGCAGAATGAATTGACAGAATAATCTGAACCACTAGATTGCTAGGATATAATCTGAAAGGCCTGAAATACGATTTAAAAATAACAAATAAATATTAAAATATTTGACTATAATAATACAACTCAACACGATTAAATGTGATTTATATTTTTGAGTAAAAAAACAAATCCTGGAATAAAACAAATTAATCACGTCCTGGAATTATAAGGCAAAGTTTAAACTTTATGCCTATTTTTTTATTTAATTTTCAAATGTTTGAAAGCTCTGACTTTGGGACTGATTTTTTTTTTGTGACTGTTTTTTTTTTTGGTGTGTTCATCTCGTTTGATAGAAACAACACACCTACCGAAAACACCCTGATTAACCTCGTAATGAATGTTAGAAAGTGATGCCACATGAGAAGCGTCGGGCCATAAATTCACCGCAGACAATAAGGGCTCATTGTCACCTGCTGTAACTTAGTCTGTTCGTTTTTCATGCACAATACGATTCCTGATTCAAAAGTGTTTTTTGTCAGGAGCTTGGATCGAAATGTCGAAAATGTTTGCAGCCCAATCTTATTCTTGCTCCTAGAATAAAATGTAGGATTATCAATGAAAGACAGGCCTAATCATTTGAGTCAAACCACACACGTAACGGAGCGACGTAATGCACAGGATTTTAGATGTAGTTATTACTTTTGTTAACTAGGCTTTATATAAGGACCATTTTTCTGTCTCATGTAACAGCTAAAAGCAACATTAAGTAATATTTATTTTGTATCCTACTTCTGGATAAATATGTTTCATAGCGTATTAAAAAATTGTGTTGTTTAATTGCAATTTAAATTTTAGGAGTACATATAATTTTCTATCGTTAATAAAAAAAAATTGAGCCTAATATGTCAGATTGAATATATTATGTTATATGAATATATTCTGAGTGAGTTCACCTGTGTAGTTCATGAAGTGGATGTTTTAGATGTTTTAAAAGCATTTAAAAGTCAGATTTACAGCTAAGTACACATGCTTCGTATATTTCTATGAATCAGAGACATTATTGAAGCCATAGTAAATTAATATTTAACTGAACCTGAGGTGTTAACACAGTTTATGAGTATTAGATATAATTTATGAGTTGTGTTTGAATGCGGTCTCAGATCAGATCAGATTTGATTCAATTGTGTCTGGAGAAACTGATCCTGATCAGCAGTGCAGCGCTCAAGTCTTTTCTTTTAATCAAAGTCCATATTTCTTTATTCTACACATAAATTGAAATGAGTAGTTATAATCTTAACAGTGGACTGCAGCTGAAGCTCAGATCTGACTGAGGGGTCCCTCAGGTCACAGTGCTGGATGTGAATTCGGCCTATAGCTGCAGGTTGCAGTGCACTCTGGACCATATAGTACCACAGCGATTTCACAACACATCGATTTTGCTTAGGTTGTCAGTTTTTCATTGCTTTGACTTGCACCTTGTGTAGTCTAAATTACTAATCAGAATTGGCTGTGTTTGACCCGTGTTTCTCCATTATCTATATTTTCTGGCAGCTGCAGGATGATAGGATCTCAACCATTTCCATCACTGCACCTTTTCTCAAAGTGAGCGTTTTTCCAATGCAGTATCATGTAATCATAACATTTTCTGATGCTCATGGTCATTGTTAGACGTATCTGTTATTATTATATGGTTGTTTTAATCAGATTAACAGTTAATTAACAGCTGATTAATTCCTCGTTTATACTCACCAGCTCCTCCTCCTGTCTGCCAGTTGAGATGTAATGCTTGTGTTGATCATTTGAAAAGCTTTAACGTTCTTCTACGAGGTCATCCCCTGGAACTGTTTGACGAAGAAAGAGAAAAAGATCAGCTGCAACAGATAACGGCATTGATCCAATCTGACCTTTTCATCTGACTATAATCAATGCTGAACTCACTGTAAAGCTCGTTCACTGATTGCTCGTGTTTGTAGATGGAAGAAAACGCTTTCAGTGACAGGCTGAAGCTGATTGTTTTACAATAACATCAAATTAAATCAAATCTCAGTGTTTGATTCAGTGGCACTCAGCCATTCAGTGAAAGTCTCTATTGTTCCTTTGTTGAATAGAAGGGAAACTCCCTCATCGGTAAAATAACTTCACTTTTCTCAGGCAATTAAAGGAAAAAAAAACAATCAGCCTTCTTACAAAGATAAATACATAAAATGTCTCATTCATATTTAACCTGCCAAATGCCTGGCTTTAGAGAGGAACTTAAATTCTTGTAAAATGTTTTTGATTATTTAAAAATTGCTTAAATTAAATGTTTATTCACAGTATACCTTATTTTTCCTCACAATAACTTTAAATTTAAAATGGCTTATGAACAAATTTGTTAAAACTTTAGTTTTAGTGAAAAAGAAGTTGTTTAGCTCATCATGTTCTACCTTGATATGATCATTCTTTGTTAGATTTGATCTTTCTTAAATTGTAAATGGAAACAGACAAATCATTTGTTCAACAACAAGAAGACATTTTTAGTGATAGCCTACTGTTTGGGATAACTGTCAGTTTCTGAAGATATAAGAAGACCTTATCACTCCTAGATGTCCCTGAACGTCATAAGGAAAACATGACTCTTCATAGCTATTGAATATAAAATAAAAAGTAAGCTGACTTAATAATATAACATTCCCTCTCTTTGCAGTGTACATTTCAAAAGAAAAAAAATGGTACAACTCTTAGTTAAGTAAAAATTTTAAAGCACTGACTGTAAAATATACTTAGATATACACAAACATATGAATAAAAGTATCAAAAGCAATAATACTGAACTGCAAAAAGTATTATTCACATCACAACTAAAATGCCTTTACTGTAAATGTTACTTGAGTATACAGTATGTAGATATTATAACTACCAAAATGCACTTCAAGTATCAATAGAAAACCTAATCAATGCAGATAAATGGCTCCTGTGAGTGTTAGTATACAATTTATCATTAGATTGTTATTACTGAGACAGTAAGCAGAACTTTACTCTTGTCGTAGTGTAATCTATAACAATGCATCTAATTTTACAGGCTCATATGTGAAATCTTCATTTGTAAAGTAGCTAGCAGCTAAAGTTATGAAATAAATATAGTCGAGTAAAACGTACAATATTTTGAAGTAGAAGTATAACAGCATAAAATGCAAATACTCATGTAGGGTACAAGTACCTTAAATATATCTTAAGTAGTTACTTTTAAACACTGAGTGGCCTGTCTAGGTGTTGAATTGTTAATAAGTATGAAGTATATTAATGTAGTATGTCAGTGTGGGGTTAAACTAGTTCATATAGCAACTCTTGGCTTACTCTATTAATCAAATTTTTGATATTTTGAGCACATATTATTCTAGTAAAGTCTCCACAGCCCAATAGTGTAGTGCGGAAAAAGTTACAATAATCCCACGAGATTCATCAAAAGAATAAAATATGAAGCTGAGCAAATAAACGTTGTCCCTTTCACGTGTTGCTACTGTAACCTCTGATTGACCTTTATCACTGTCATGTTCAGAGACAGCGTTTAAAAGCTGCACAGACAGTTGCTCCTCACATACATCGCTGTCGACTGAGTCTTTTATACCATTTTCACCTTCGGCCTCCTGAAGCATTAGCGTGACTGTTTATACACTGCAGCCTGATTTCCAGCCTGTATCTGATAAAGACACACACCGACATTTATACAGAAGGAAAAAAAAAAAAAACTTCCATTCAGACAGACGTGGACGGTGCAGTATTTCTTTTTGTGTATTGTCTTACGTTGCTGCGTTGTGTTGGCTACAATGGCTGACTGGCTCAAGGTTAGCTCGCCCTGCTGTCTCTGTTTTGCTCTCAGCCTTGGAGGAGGCCTGCGTATGTCTCACTGCCATTCCTGTTGCTCTCTGCAGCGAGGGAGGAACAGATGGAGGCCAGATTCATACTCTCTGAACGACAGTAATTACAGACAGTGAGGTGTACGGTTCCAAAAAAAAAAAAAGAAGAAAAAAAAAAAAGACATTATGCAATTTAAATGAGTTTTAAGTTGATGATTTCCGCAGTTCCTCAAGCTGTTTTCGGCATTAACGCCACTGATGAATATTATAAGCTGTGCTGTTTGTATCATCACTAACCGAAGGAAGAAGAAAAAAGCCAATCTGTCACTTCCACAGATTGATGCCCTCCTCTGAACAGCTAAGTGGTTCTTGGAAGATACTCTGTTATGTGCCAGATGAGCGAGTGAAAATTACATTCATCAGATGTCATGCTATCTGAGAGAGAGGGACAAGGAGATGTGATAGATAGAAATGGAGTCTCTATTTGAATATGATAGAGCTCTACTCTGTCTCTATTTCTAGCCGACTCTTTATCTGGAGGGGAGTTGTGAGATAAGGAGGGATTCCAGGCTGCTGTTGTGTGGGCCGGCGTGACTGTGGGCCTGCGCCTCCTGCTGGTGTAGAGGCGCCACTGCACGACATACTCACCCAGTCGGCAGGAGACTGTTTATGAAAGTGGAGGGAAAGAATCTTTGTGGCACAGGCCCAGCTGGATGTTCATTCCTCTAAGAATCACTCAATATATCCTGGTTTGGTACCATGAACTGAGCTGAACAGGTGCTCTAAGTAATACATGGAAATTATATTAAGATCATTTTAACAGTCTTTGTGGCGGTTGACTGAATTGCCCTGGTGAAGATCTTCAGAAAAACAACCTTGACCGACGCCTCAGCTTGACCGACATGCAAATTTCAGTTTATCCAGAAAAAGTATTGAATGTGTTTTCCAAGCCTGAGAGTTGATGAACCCATTTCATCTCATGTAGCCTCGTATTGTGAGATCCTTAAACGGATGTTAAGAGATAAAGAGAGAAACAGCAGGTCCGAACAAATCATCATCAACCAAAAAGTACATTTCCCTCCAGTAACTTGACTTCTCACTTGTCCTCTCAGATTTGTTTGATGACTTTGCTGAGGGGCGGGAGTGTGTGAACTGTGGGGCGATGTCGACCCCCCTCTGGAGGCGGGATGGTACCGGCCACTACCTGTGTAATGCCTGTGGGCTGTACCACAAGATGAACGGCATCAACAGACCTCTCATCAAACCCCAAAGACGACTGGTGGGTCATCTTTGATTTAGATATGTTCGCCTCTTTAGTAAATGAAAGATGAATCCACTACTTCTTTCTCTGTCTTCATTGTTGACTGACATGTTTTATCTGTGGCAGTCTGCCTCGAGGAGGGTGGGCCTGTCCTGCACCAACTGTCACACCACCACCACCACCCTGTGGCGACGGAACGCAGAGGGGGAGCCGGTCTGCAACGCCTGTGGCCTCTACATGAAACTTCATGGGGTAAGAGAGAAAGGAGGGAGGGAGGGAGGGAGGGAGAGGAAAAGAGACAGTACTTCTTAGTGTTGACATTCTTTTTCTCACCAGCCTCTATGGATGTTACACAATCACACCTCACTCTGGTTCTGTCCTTTTGCTTGGGGTCTCGACAGGTACCCCGACCCCTGGCCATGAAGAAAGAGGGGATCCAGACCCGCAAACGCAAACCCAAGAACCTCAACAAGTCCCAAACTGGTGAGCTTCAAAAAACACATGGTATTCACTCTAATTAAATAATAAGATGAAGCAGTAGTTGCCCAAACATTTTGGAGTTTTATGGATTTTGAACAAGCCCCGTTTCCAAACCAAAAACAGTCATTTGGAGCCCTCTCTTTTCACCCTTACCTCTTGAGCGAGCGCGTGTGTCATGTCACAAAGCCCATATACATATACTGGTCTGTCCATGTGTGATGACCATGGATCTGTGCTCCACAGGGACTCCAGGCAGTGAGGGGACTCCAGGCACACCAGGCAGCACTCCCCGCGCCACAACCACCACCACCACCACCACAGAGGAGCCTCGTCGGATAAAGACGGAGCCGGAGACCCACAGCTTGTACACACACCACAGCACACACACACAGGTGAGATACTTTGACATTGCAGGGAGCATATATGCACAAGGATGTTTTGAGAAGCTCTGGTTGTGCTGACAGAATAGGTAGAAGCAACATTTACATTCAGCTCCATCTGTCTAACAAGCCCAGAAAACTGTATCACCGAACGGCCAGTTGAAAAGACCTAGTATGACCAGGAGGAGACTGCAGCCCAAATTCTGATCTCATATGCTCAAATAGCCACATACGACAAATTGTACTGGTCTTTTCACCATTTTCTTGTGTCCTTCTAGATTTCAGCCCTGCCAGCCTACATGGCAGCACAAGGAGGGGCCATTCCTCTCAAGATGTCGCCTGGAGGCCACGGCGGGTCTTCTGGCTCTAAAACTGAGCCCTGGAATAACCTAATCCTGGCTTAGATAATCTACAACCCAGCATCTCAAACCAGCTCATCTACAGCGAATCAGCTCTCCTGACAGACTAGAGTCTCGGGGAAAGTGGACTTTGTGCTCTGGGTGCAGATGGTCCTACGCGGCCTCCAGCTCACCGTACAAACAGCGCCTTCAGTACAAAGATCTGGGAAGGAAATATGGCAGCCAGTACAGAAGTGGAGTGCGTAAACATTACTGCACAGTTACTGTGTGTGCAATCACTGCAATCAAGGACCGGATGGAGTTTGTGTCAGACAATCGTGGAAGAGCAGCTCTTTGATTAGATCCACACAACAACTTTTGATGTGAGAAAATGCAACTGTGACAGAAGATTAGCTCTTTTTGACACTCTCTCATATTGTGCCACACAAGTACTCGACTAAAACCGTAACATAAGCCCGTGACAAACGACAGTAATCTCCCTGGGTTTTTTTATTTCAATATATTTGCCTTTTCTTCATTTTTGCATATTAATATGGACAATTCTTATGCACAATTTGCCAAAGAAATGATAGATATACAAAACATGTAAAGAATCACAGCAGGACATTTTTATGTCAAAGGTAGCACCAGTGGCTGTACTTAAAGGGTCAATTCATATAAATACTTATTACACTAACACTTACCCCAGTGGTACATTTGCAAATGATGTTTGAAAAACTCGGTAGCAATGTCTCAGGATAGGACGAAATATGTCCTATATGACCTCAGTGTGGTCAGTGTTCAGTATTTTGTTTGTGACTTTCTTTGATTCATTCAAAGAAACTGTTTTTTGGTAAGGCATGTTGCTATTGAATTCATCAAATGTGGTCTTTTAATGATTTGAGCGCCTCAGTTATAATGGGGTGGCAGCAGAAGTCTTAGCAGCTTTTATCTCCACACCAAGAAAACACATCGCTGATTGTTATTTAAGATTTTTTTTTTTTTTAAATCTGTAATTTGGTTGAACTGATCCTTTAAATACGCATCACAGTGAAGTAAAATTGAAATTTCACAGTGCTTCTAGCTAACTCTACAAAGACAAACAAATGATAATTATTTCTTGTAAACTTACTGTAACATAGAGAGAACTGCTCTTGACATCCATCACTCCTCAACACCAGTGATATGACCTTCAGTAGAAATGATCATTATCATCTAATTAATATCTATTATATGAAGGTTGTTTGATAAACTCTGCGAAGGAGTACTGTATCAAAACTGTACAGGATGTTTGTTTGGGACGAGCATGGAGGCAACATGTGTAAATGTGGGATACTGCCACATGTAATTACCAAAAATAACAACTATATGAGCATATATGTATAGAAAAAAAAAAAAAAAAAAAAAAAAAAAAAACTCCACTCCAATATAATTGTGTAATACACCATTTGTGATATATTGTAAGTAAAGACACAGTGACAGATGGACATGTGTCTGTGTATTTCTCACTACCTGATGGCCGTCCTCTGTGTGCGACTCTAGCTCCACTGAGGAACCTAATAAAGATAAAAGCGTCTTGACACAGTGCAAATGGTATGTATGATGTAAAGGTTTAGTGACTTTCATTCTGCTTCAAATGCATACCAAAGATTTGTGGAATAATTAGTGTCATTATAGCTTGTCAACTGAGTAATTACCTAACAGCTTGTTGACCTTTTGACTCTTCTTCTGAAAAGTGTATCCTTCCGATTTGTAAGTATGCGTTTGTGAACTTTGCAATATCTTGGACAAAACACTGGACGGCACATTGATTGAAGTCTTCAGTCAGCTTCTCCCTGATTAACTCTGCGTATTTGTCTTGTACCATCTCCCTCCAACACTGCTGAAACGCGAGCTTCATTCGACCCTGGAGGGCGTCAGACACTTGTGGACTGAAAGCGCGATCAAGTGGAAATGCCTTCCCGCTTTCTAAATGTTCCTCAAAGCTCGCACTTTTTTGTGAAAGCGGCCCTCGTGCAGCTTCAATCGCGGTGTTCAGCTCCCGTGTGAAGGCTTCTTTCTCATCCTCTGGTTTGCATTCAAAAATACTTTGCATTCTTTTGAAGTAACTCTTCCAGTCCTGCACCTGCACAACGGTCATCAGAGGGAAACTCAAATTTACAGATGTAAGGAGGTGTTTAACTACAGAAGTCAGATTTTTACATAAAGGATTGAGATCAGTTCTATTTTTTACTGCTTTGACATAGTCCTCATGGTCCTCAGTCTGTTTTATACACTCCACTTGGCTGTAGTCAACGTCCCTGAACAGATTTTCTTTGGTTCCTTTGAAGCCCCAGCATCTCACATAACCAATATGAGTCTTTACCCCATACACAGTCCACCACTCCTGAGCTTTCTGAACCAGGTTTAACATGCATGGCTCAGTGTTTCTAGCCAAACACGGGCTGTTCATGGTGAAAACATACACCTTCCAGTCTTCTGAGGATTCCTCTGACTCCAGAAGCTCCTGTGTTTGTTTAATAATGACGTCCTCGCTGTGTTCTCCGTTGTTGTAGTTAGGATAATAAGGTCCATACATGATGATCTCCTCCTGTTTCTCAATAACAGCCCACGAATGCTGTTTATCTTCTGCGCCACATTCCTCAGTGATGTCATGGTGAAACTCCAAAAATTTCTTGTTAACTGGGTCATTGAGGAAAGTGTCATCGGTGGCTTGTCTGAACGTGAGATGCTCCAGCACTTTATTCACAGAGTATTGTGTGTCAGCCCAGGATGATACCTGCTCGAAGAAGCGCCTGTTGTTAGTCAGGTATTTAACCTCTTCATTCACACAGGCTTCACATGTGCAGAGGCGACCACAGCTCGTCCTGTAACACAAAAATATATATACTTTAAAGATGTAAAGGTTTGAGAGAATGCCAACAAAACAAAACATAGAATAACCCAATTTTCCAGTTTTTATTGAAATTTCAGCAGGTCGAGTTCAGTGAAAAACCTTAAATGGTACAAAGGTAAGCAGTACACTGGCCAAAGAAAAAAAAAAAAAAAGAAAAAAAAGTTGATTTCACCAAGAACTGAAAAATCATGTAATTTTCATAGAAAACTGGCCTTTTTCAAGGATAAAAAATAGGTAACTTCAGTAAATGAAGCCTGAAGTTAATGCAAACAATTCCAACAGGTTTCTCAAGTTTGTTTGACTTACAAACCCTCTGTCTGTACAAAGTTCGTGATGGGATAAACTGTGTTACTGCAGGAAGTAGTACAGTATATTGATATCATGGTGGTGAGAAAAAGGGAGACAGACCGGTTGGTCAGGCTACAGCAAGACAATGACCGAAAACATGAGAGGTCCAGAACCAGACAGTGGCTTCACATGATGGAGGAGCAGACTCAAACCTCAGGGAGCTGGTTTGGGATGAACTGGACTGAAGGTGAAAGCAAACCAACCTACAAGTGCAACACGTTTGTGGGAACCTCTGCAACAGTGTTGGGACAAACTCTCTCAATAATACTTGATTTCTATTGGATTTCTATTCTACCGGATGAGCCTAAAATTTAGATTAGATTTAGGATCTGAGACATTACCACTGTGTAAATTTCAGTAACAACTGGAAAAATGGAGGTGTTCGTGCAAACACAGGGAGTATACTGTTAATGCAAAACGAAAGTTACAAATCCTCTCACAAACTATTCTTAGCAAACAGCTTGTCCACCACTTGTGTACTTCCTTGTGCGTCACGTTGACCTGTAGTAAGAATTTTTTGCAAAGCATCATTTTATTTACACCAGTGGAGAAGTGTGGTCATAAGGGGAAATACACTTGTGAAATAAAACACGTAATAGTACAATAAAGCATATAATAGGATATACCGTAATACTGTCACCCTGACATTTGCTAAACCAAAAAGCCTTAGAGTAAAAGCAATGTGACATGAGTAATATCAACAGTGAGATGCCTGAAATAACCCATCTGACCTCAAACAATCTGATCTCGCCCACATGCACATATACTGTCATTCTTCTTCAGTTGACACTTACCTCAGTCTGGCGTGCTGTGTGGCTCTGTCTGAGCCGTCAGTCTGAGATCTGTCCCGCAGAGCTGTGAGACTGGATACGCGTTTCTTCGAGGACAGCAGAGGCTCCTTTTCATCTCCATGAGACAGACGCCGTTTACGGCTCAACCTGAGTGAAAACAACAGACTGACTTGACGAAGAGCTGCGGCTGTATACTGTATATTTCACAGATCACCAATGGCCACATCACTGATACACCGCTGAGATGATGACACATTAGGATGCAAGGACATAATTTCACAGCCTCTCTTCCAGGTCACAGGGAATTTTTTCTCAATGTGAAATCTGAGTTTACTCACATGGGAAGTTCCATCCAGTCTCCTCACACCTGGTAGTTCAGAAACCATTTAAATTTGCTTTGTCTTTTCTCTGGTCGGTTCAGTCACTTGGTCGAAGCTCAGAGTGAGTTCAGATCACAGGAGGCAAAGCTGTGACAAACTGAACAGCAAGCTACGTTTAAACTGTTGCACTCTCGATGAATATGACTGCTGGAGAGAGTTTGCCACAGTCAGCACTCAGCTCCTCCTCCTGGTAATGCTCGGGGACTTACTGATATTACCTAACATGTCCACTGTTGATATACTGCTGTGTGAATGTGTGTGTGTTTCATCAACTTGTATCCTCAGTGACCCTTTTTTTTTTTTTTTTTTTTTCCAGTTTGGCAGGTTCACACTAGTATGCAGACGACACAGATCAAAGCCCACTCTTCTTCTTTAGTGGAAGGTGTCATAGCTTTCCCTCAATAAGCTAATTTAAAAGAGAAGAAGACAAATGAGGATGTATAGGGTGCTTTTGGTTTATGCCATGGGTTTCAATGATTTCTGGAGGCTAAAAAGTGACACACATACAGTACCAGAGGTTGGCTGACAGTTCCCAGCTGTGTGCCCCTGAGCAAAAGCTATGAAATTTTCCTGCGTTCACATTTAATATTTCACAGGGCTGAAAATTCCCTCCATGACCCCAAACTTCATGTATATGCCATATCATTGTGAGGCTGCCTGAGCGAAATTGATCTGAAACTTGTTGTTTTCTTTTCAGTCAAGGGACTAAAAAAAAAAAAAAAAACAAGACGCACAGCAAACCTGCTAGAGGGGAACATAACATGTTGACGTCAAAAGCAAATATGGAGGTCTCATGCCTTTACTCTTTATTATCAAAACAAATGTCATTAGTGTGATTTTGTGTTGTGTAATTCTTCAGCGAACCATAATGACAGTCTCCTTTGTGTTTTAGCTGATGGAGGGTAACGTGTCACGCTCAAACAAAAGGCATGTGGACACTGTTGCTGTGAAGCAGAGTCATGCAGAAACACGTTCAACAGGATCTGTGTTTTCCTCTCTTTCTAGTTTCTGATGGATGGATAGATGGATACTTCATTTATCCCCTAGGGGAAATTGTTCTCAACTCATTGTTGATAATAAAAATACAGTTAATAATAATAATAATAATAATAATGAGAGAGAGAGAGAGAGAGAGAGAGAGAGAGAGAGAGAGAGATGAAGGCTTCTTGCTACTGACAGGCTTGTTGCAGGCTGTCACACAGTGTGCAGCTTCATCTATGGGGTGTACTATACACTTCTAGTATTTTGCGAGCTCGCTCACTGTCACAACTTAGTGGGACACTTGAACAGAACAGAGCCATCATTAATATCAAAAGTGACAAGTGCTTTTCCTACTATGACAAGTCAATATATCTTCTGTGAACTGCTATTATAAAAGGATCTTTTTCCTGATTCATGTGTTTATAACTATTATATCACTATATAACTTATTTTTTCTTACCGTTTGTTATGACAAAAGTCTTATTTTCACCTGCTCATGTGTCCAAATTTATCAAATTGTGAAGTTGCCCCCATATTCCCAGGTCCTAAAAAGCTACTATAGTTCAATTACTGATGGGAATATTTTCAGCCAGGTCTTAATCAGTGGGTTTAATTTTGTTTTTCTTTGTACAATATACAGCGTCTCACTCTCCTTTCTTTCTTTTCATGTGCGCTATTGTGTAAATCCATAATATCATTATGTGCATGTGTGTGTGAAAGTGTATGTACGAATGAAAGTCACAGAGATGTTAGGAACAAATGGAGTTGGGTATGCTGTCATGCCTGGACTGTGGATGTCCTCTGCTGACTTGTTGTTGGTCCACTTGGCAATGAAGCAACTCAGCTTAGGTCAGACTCAGCAGGCTTTACTCCACATGTAGATGTGTAAGGGCTAAGACACCTACTGTGACCTAATTTTAACTCATGATAAAAACTATCTTAAAAAGAAACAATTCATGCATCATTTTGTATTTATTTTTCTTGGAAAGTTCTTTGATTCCACACTTTATTTGTGACTAATAGTATAGTATTTTGTTCCTTTTGTTTTTCTTCACTTGTGTAGATAGTCATACTGTATGCATGGTCTAGTTTTTTTAATTACTCATCTATACTATGCCTAAACTGTTGTGCTTCTGCAGCTGTGACAGTTAAAACAAACTATGTGGGATCAAAAGTTTATCTTATCTTAAAAAAATTGACAATCTTAATCATATGAATTGTTCAAATACTATAGAGGAATGAATAAACAACAACAATAAGACTAGTAATTATTAAAAGTAACCTTTATTGCTATAGATTTTCAAAAACAAAATTGCACTTTTGGACAATACAAAGAAAATATTGTCTATTCAAACAGACCATTTAAAAACGTGTAGTTTATAAAGGTGAATTCATTTCCATACTTGTATAATATGACACAACAGACCGTCTCAGGCAGTGCACACAGGTGCCAGCCCTTGGATAATATAATTTCATTCAGCAGGTAAATTTCTCTTTGGGATAATGAACGGACCAATCAGAAGCCGCGATTTACTGACAGTTCGCTGGGGCGGGTCATCACACCAGACGCTCTGGATGCTCATTGGACGCTGAGCGCTAAGCCCATGACTCGCCAGCCAATCAGAGGCGTCAGTCGATGTGACGAGTGTTGTGACCGAAAGCCGTATTCTTCCTCGCGCTACTGCTGCTGCTGCTACAGCATCTCATCGACGCATTGCTTTGATGGGGGACATCTCGCCGGGTTCACGCAGCAATTTGTGAGAGTCACAGCAGAACACCTGAAGCATCATGGACATCCTGAAGTCACTGGGCCACCCGGAGGAACTATTCAACCTGTTTAAGTTTAAGATGGGGGGTTGCAGAGCCGTCATGCCAAAGTTGGACTATGTGAGTAAAATATCCTTTCGAAAATATTTACTGTAAAATAAACTCAGCCGTATGAACCATTAGACTGCATCCACGCGCAGGTAGGATGCATGACTGTATTCGTGTCACGGATCAAGTAGCACATGATGTTCCCCTTTTATACAGCATCGGCATGAACAGGCTGCACTGTGGCAACATGGAAACCCACGTAGGCCCATTAACAAGTAGGTCTGCACATGCTTAGTGTATACAACCCGTAATAGATTGACCTGCGCGGTGAACAGTTTTGCTCCTTAATGAGCCGATGGAAGCAGAGTCAGGTAATTGGAGTCAAAATCAGATTAGATCAGGACTCTCACTCCTGTGCTGGCTCAGATATACAGAGACTGAGGTGACCATTGACTTGGGATTTAGGTTACATAACGAGCTTGGAGGATTCAGCAGCCAGGAGAGATGATGTGCGCATGTTTGACGGCTAATCCCACTGTTTTAACACCAATGTGACCCTCAGAGAGACGGAGCCTGCAGAGGCTGCAACCAGTCTGTACTATAAGCTGGCTGGCAGCGCGTGTAGTGGCCCACACCAACGTTAACCCAATAATAATCATGCATCATGTGAATTGTTTTCAAGGCTGTAGGATCAAACATTTTGTATTAATTAATATTGTTAATAACCAGAGGTGCATTTCATGACTGACCATCAATGTATCACCGGTTAAACAGTAAGGCCTATTTACACTTTTGTATGATCCGTCAGATATTGTGAGCTGAACACGGATATGGGCTAAAACTGTCATGCAAAGCAAAAGTAGCCCAGTTTCAGACCTCTGACCACAACTCAAATACTGATAGGGAAATGGGAATTCAGTCTGATCTGATTCTCAGACTTTGATTGCTGTTACCAAAATAAATGGTTACACATGATCTTACCAAACAGTGTGATACAGTGTTATATTAATATAACATCCTACTGTCCTTCCCACTGTCCCCCACCAGGTGTCAGCAAAAATACACTTCTATTATTTGCTGCACACTTCCCCAAACAACTACTTCTTTGTTTTGACAATTGTTGTAGTAGTAGCAACAGTAGTAGTAGTAGCAGCAGTAGTAGTATTAGTAGCAGTGGTAGTAGTAGAAATCCTTAACATGATGGACATAAATAGCTGTTTTTTTTGTTTTGTTTTTTTAAATAATCCATCTACAAACCAAAACACACGAGCATGATGAATTTCCCAAAGCTAAACTTATTTTTTGGCTCTTTTTTATATGCAAGAGGAAATGTTAGCTAATTGCATACGCTGATGTAACAAGGCTTTCTACCATTTTTGGCTCGTGTTTTCATTGAAAATCACTACATTCACTGGTGTCACTTTTTCTGTTTAATGCAGTATTGTTCCTTGCGACAAATAGTTGGGATAAAATCGAGTGAGCCAGACACATTTCAGTGCTAGAAGCAGGTTAGGAAACAGTGAGAGAAGTTACAGTCATGTTTTGGGTAGAGGTGGGAGGAGTGGCGTGATCATAACAGCAGATCTACAAACGCTTTGCACAGACGCTGTCGGCCGACACACTGAGCTAAGACTGTTTTCAGATCAGTGGAGCGCTTGATTTCACCCTCCTGGACGTCCTCCCAAAAGTTTTTCACCTCGCTCGACCCCTCAGCTCACTTGTCCTCTACATGGACTTCGTGTTTCAAACTTACCTTCCAGCCGCGGTGTCGACATGGACACTGTCATTTCGTAGCTGCAGGCTCTGCCGTGCTGTCGGGGTTTATGTATGGCCGGAGCTTGCTGCAAGTGTCCAGTCTCCCTGTCCGTGTTCAAGCGCTCTCTCTCGGTGGCGCCGCGGGGCTGCGCGTCCGCTCCACGGTCCCTCCTGCCGGGCTGGAGGCTAGGGGAGCGGGGCCTTCAGGAGGCCGCGCGACCCTCCAGTGCCTTCAGACCCGCATGCTTTTACCGACACTCGGTCTTCTTCTGTCTCTCCTGCCAGGAGTCCATGAGTGAGAGTCTGCGGACATGCTACCTGTACTTGAACCAAACCAGCCGGAGTTTTGCAGCCGTGATTCAGGCGCTGGACGGGGAACTGAGGTGGGTAAATGCTTGATTGGGAGCTGTGCTGGCTCCAGGTGCAGAGGGGTGTGTCTGCAGGCATGTTTTCTTCCCTCACTCGCACTTTCCTGCGTAAAAATATTTATGCCAAAAAAAAATGTAATAAGCATTTCCATAATCTATTTCTATCAACAGCTGAGACTTAAAAAATAAATTGATTTTAATAAATACTGTGGCTTTTATTCTATACTACAAGATAACTTATCACGTCAACCACAGGCAGCAGTCTCAATATACCAAAATGCATTGCACTTCATGGCTGGCCCAAGTCTTTCGTAGGGACCTGATCACAGTTAGTTATTTAAATGACAACAATTTACATGCACACCAGCAGCGACATCCACACTGTATTAGAAAATAGTGAAAAATGCTGATTAATAACCAAAGTGTAATTTTCAGATTGTTTCTTTTGTCCTACTAACAGGCAAAAATTCAACTTACAATGACGGGAAATTATGCTTGATAAATGATCTAAACGATTAATTAATGATGCTGCTTATTAACATTCTATCTGCTATTGACTAATCGACTAATGGTTTCAGCTCCAATGTCAGCCACTAATAATAATGAGGTACTGTGTAGGAACTTATTATAAAACAGAGGCTTTTGATGCAGACGTGCAGGAGGAGGCTCTGTGTGCCTGTAAAGTAACAGTGACTTTAGTAACCTGCGAGGACCTGCAGCAAGAATTCAAAAGGAAAATACACACAGGGAGCCCTGCTGCTGCTGTGTGTCTAATTTAAGCTCATAGTTCAGGTCAAAACTCTCAGTAAAGAAATGACAGCTGTTTGTAAACACTCGTCTTTAGTGTGTGTGTGTGTATGTGTGTGTGTGTGTGTGTGTACTTTATATATCATCGTTCAAAGGGAATCTTCAACATATAGACGAACCTGATCTGCCTAGACCCCCTGCCTTGACATGTCTGCTATTTCTGTCATTTTTTCAATCAATGACGAGGCAACTTGTCAATCAGCTTTCACACACTCCAGTGAACACACAGCTGACTCATGTCCTCCCTCCTCCCTCCTCTCTCTATGATCCAGACATGCAGTTTGTATTTTCTACTTGGTGCTGCGAGCGCTGGACACAGTGGAGGACGACATGAGTATCCCTCTGGACAAAAAAGTTCCCATGCTGAATGATTTCCACACCTACCTGTACCAGGATGAGTGGTGCTTCACTGAGAGCCAGGAGAAAGACCGGCAGGTCCTGGAGGATTTCCCTACGGTCAGTATTTCTTTATGGTAGTCCATAGAGGGACAGTAGATAATTACATTAGGCTTTATTTACTGATGGACTCTCGAAATAAAAGCTTCATCACTTAGATTAATGACTTTAGTTAACAATGACTACAATCTTATTGTGTCCTCTCAATCCAGATATCACTGGAATTCAGAAACCTCGCTCAGGAATACAGAGACGTTATCTCAGATATCTGCCACCGCATGGGAGAGGGAATGGCTGAATTCCTGGAGAAGAAAGTGGGATCCATGAAGGAGTGGGACCAGGTGAGTGTTAGCCTTGTGTTACCATCATAGTAGGATGGTGATAGAAATATTGGGAGCATAACAACAACATCTGTAAATATAAATGGAAACATGCAATAAATGACTTGAATCTTTAAAAACACAAACACTGGCTCTCTGTATGTTAGCCCATGACATTAGAGGTGAGTAAAGTGGACAATAAGAGCAGAGATCCAAAAGAACCTTTGAGTAAAATAAAAGGGACATATGTTTATCTGTATTCCATGCATGATGAAGATCTTACTCTTCTCAGTAAAAAATACTTGAAACAAGGAACTTCGAGTAAAAGGGCAACATATTGCAATACAATATACTACCGCTTTGCCTTTTGTGTCTTTGGCTTTGAAGGAAATATGTCATTATTTGCTTGTAGCACTGTGTTTGACAGCTGATAAAATCTGAAAAGATAAGGGATGTTATTAGAGTTTTGATCAGTTTGTGCTAACAAACCTGTTGCATGGACAGTTTCACTTAACTGCAGCTTCATTTTGCCTTAGAAATGTCTTTTCAGTGATACTCGTGTCTGAACTTCCTTCAAATTTCGCCACATGTCCTTTAAATGACTACCGACAAATCTACTGCCTCTCTGGATATTGCATAACTGTGTGTTCAGTTTGAGCCAGTTTTTTGTTACGCTGCAGCTGTTTGTTTTTTCCTCTCTGCAGTATTGCCACTATGTGGCAGGGCTGGTTGGCATCGGTCTGTCTCAGCTCTTCTCTGCGTCCCAGCTGGAGGACCCTGAGGTGGGCCGGGACACAGAGCTGGCCAATTCCATGGGCCTGTTCCTCCAGAAGACCAACATCATCCGAGACTATCTGGAGGACACGCAAGAGGGACGTGCCTTCTGGCCACAAGAGGTAGTAACGTGTGTGTGTTTGTCTGCGTGTCTGACCTGAGCCCACAGCTATGCAGTGTAATATGTAAAGAAAATACTTTTCAATGTTCCTTTATTACCAGTGTGCATTGTGAAATGTATGTGTATAGACAAGTGTTATACAACCTCTGGCATTTCTGTTTATGCAGTATGTGTGTATTTTATCTTTATCAGCAGAATGTGTAGATTTTATTCACCTTGTCTCTAAAAAAGTATGCAGCATGCATGGTTGTCACACACCAGTCTTTCATAGATTTGTGTCTCTTAAGAAAAAGAAAATATCTAAAACAGTTACTAAGATTTAAACCGCTTGTCGTCATAACCAGTGTTTGCTATTCGAATAATCGTCCAGGTTGTGCATCTGTCATGGCCGCAGCAGGAGGGAGAGAGAAAAAGAAAAACTGACATGACTCTTTTTAAACATATATTCCCTGAAAAACAAAGAACATCGTACCATGTGATGTTGTGTTAACCTGTGTCTCTGTCTCCCGGTGCAGGCTTGGAGTCAGTTTGCAGGTCGTCTTGAGGACTTAGCCCAGCCGGAGAAGCTGGAGTCGGCTCTGTCCTGTCTCAACCTGCTGGTCACTGATGCTCTGCGACACGTCCCAGATGTTATCGCCTACCTGTCCCGCCTGCGCAACCAGAGCGTCTTCAACTTCTGTGCTATTCCACAGGTACTGACTGATGTGTCACCTACTCCCAACAATGAAGTGATCTCATTTGATTTGTGTGACATGATATTTGAACGGGAAATATCTTCTCCACAACAGGCTTTAATTTGATATAATTCATTTTAGGGTTTCCGCTAACAGTTATGTTCAGTATGAAGCATTCTGTTGACTAGCTTTAATTTGTAAAATTAATCGTTGAGTCTATAAATTGTCCAAAATGGTAAAAAATGCATCACAATTTTCCAGGGTCTGCACACAGCTTCTTTTGTCCAACCAACAGTCCCAAACATATTCAATACATAATGACATAAAACAGAAAAGCAACAAATCTTAACCATTGAGAAAATGAATCTAGCAAATGTTTGGCATTTTCTGCTTGGAAAATGATCGTTTATCAGAATTGATTAAATTGTTTCAGCACATACTGTAAGTTTAGTCTCTTCCACTTCACTATGTTATTCTTCTGTTGACCAGGTGATGGCAATAGCTACACTCTCAAAGTGCTACAACAACCCCATGGTGTTCCAGGGAGTAGTGAAGATCAGAAAGGGGCAGGCTGTCACCCTCATGATGGAGGCCACCAACATGCAAGCAGTGCAGACCATCATCACCCAGTACAGCCAGGAGGTGGGTGTGTTGTTGCTTCTCTCTCTCCTGCTTTTACCACATTGTTGCACTTTAACACACTTGGAACACAATCCGCCTTATTGTCCCTGTCTGCAGATTTTACAGAAGGTCTCCCTCACTGACCCGTCGCGGGACAAGACCCTGCACATCCTGGCTGTAATCCGAGAGAAGTCCACGCTGTCACAGTCCAGCCTCCCCTCCAGGACCCACCACCTGTCGCCCATGTACCTGTCTGCTGCCATGCTGCTAGCCGCTCTCAGCTGGCAGTACCTCAGCACTACTGCGGCACAGGCGCAGGGCACCGGCGACATGCAGGGACAGTGAACCCCTTCCCCCTCACTTTTCCTGGGGGCTACAGACTAAGAACGCCCCTCTGCTCACTCTGGAGGTCTGGATCTCCTCTCACCAGAGGATTCTGGAGCACTTCTACCCCACTTTGCCCTCTTTGTTATGGCTGTTACAGAACCATGGACATATTTATATAGAGGGGTTCTGGTAGCAGGCTGGTCTCATTAGGTTGTGTGGTAGTGATTTGTGGTAGTCCATCCTGCGTCTGGATTTGTTAATTACACACAGTGTTGTGTGGTTATATTCACCAGCATTAATGGCACATTGAAACAATTCAGGGTGTTTTATTGTCATTTGGTGTTTATGCTGATCATGTGTTTCTTCCTTTTTTGTTTGATTTGTTTGAAACATTTTGACCTATTATTGATTTTGAAATTATTGAGCAGATTTAAATATGTCAAGACAGAAATTCATAAATTAAAGTTCCCTGTTAAGTGGTCTGAAATGTTTAAATGCACAAACCATGACACTGTCCATTTTAGGATTTCAAGGAACAGTCACCAAACTTTAGTTTTTCTTTTAATTTTTTCTCAAATCTAAGTTTTCTTATTTTTCATGTCAAATCAAAGCTAGCTTAATGTTCCACTTGTTATGTTTCTATAGGAGAAACACTATAAGAACTGTTACAGTGGTGCACTTGCATCTGCACTGTATATATGTGCTATGTAGATGTGCATAGCATCCCCTCACAGCAGAGCTTTATTTTAACACTCATTCTTGTCTTGGTTCATTCAACGTTTCAACTCTATGTACTTTGAAATAGGAGAAAAAGAACAGTGCAATTCCAATGTAGTTTTGAAATGAATAAGGAAGAACAAAGACTTATTGAACAAATGTAATTTCTGATACATTTGATATGAGAGAGAGATCCATATTGAGACTGCTAGCTAAAGTGTCCTTAACACAGCTTTGGTGAGTAGAAAGGCTAGCACAGAGTAACCTTGCACAGAACCAAAGGAGAGCTACAAACATTGCTATGTAATGTGAAATTTTGATTTGTACATATTTGAACTAATAAAGAGGTGAAATTATCTAAACAGTCTGAAAGTTGATTGTGCAGACAACCCGAGTCATGTTTCTGTTTACAGGTTGATTTTAGTGGGTCGACCTTGGCGGATGGTTTTATAGATTCTACTCTGTAAAGTGGTTCTTTTATTTTACAGCACACGTTCGAGATTCATATAACGTCATATTCTGTGTACATGTGTATACATGGAAAAAGCAAAACTAATTAGACAAAATAATAAATGGGGATGATTTTCATAAAGTTAACAATAATGATAAATGATGGCATGTTTTTCCATTATCACTGCCGTTTAAGAGCACCTGTAACCTTTGGAAAGACATTTTGTTAGTCACATGAGATTCATGCTGATGATGCACTCATTAAACAGACATGTGATTCCATAACCTGAGTCTTGTAAAACAAGTACAAATAGTGAGAAGACTGAAGAAGAAAGGTGTTTTGTTCAGGAAGAGCCCAGAATAAGATCCATCAAGGAAAAAACAGCACAGGTAAGAACTGGATTCAGGAGATTTTTGATAATTGGTGATTATATCATCATTTGAGTTGAAAAAAAAAAAAAAGAAAAAAAAAAGAAGAATTTAGTGTGTGTGCTTGGCTTGATGCAGCAACAACTATGCTTCACATTCAGCTGAAATCCTGATATTTTTTCTGATAGTTTTATAAATAATAGTTGGTCGCTCATTTGATGAGACTCCATTTCCATCCTTTTAAACTGGTTTAACTTAGCTATGGGTTTAACTTGGCTGTAGTTACAAATAATATATCTGGCATATCAGAAGTACAGAGGTAGTCACACAGAAAAATACATCACTGGCAACTTGCATTCTTTACTTGTGTCGTGCTTGTGTAAATATGAAGCAGGTGTAGCTCTGTCCAACTTCAAACTATTTCTTCAGTATGAAGAAAAGAGAAAAGTCCACTGTGCTCAAGTTTTAAGTACATTTGAATAAAGTGGATTTAAATTATTACAGAAATAAGGGAACCGTAGGGAAAATCATTTTAAATTTTTGAGATGAATAATCAACAAAATCCTGTGTAATCACAGAAAAAAAATCCTGACCAATATATCGCAGTGTCATTACCTTGTGATCTTCATGCTGTAACGTCTCAGCATTTTAAACAACACGTTGTAGCCGAGGGAATTATTTCAAAATCTGCTTGCTGACTGTCGTCTCTTTTGCAGGATGCATCGCCTCGTCCTCCTCTGTGTGCTGGCGACCGCCTCGGTCACCTGGTCACAGCCTCATCTGCCTCTGCTCTCCTCAAAGATGGTCGACTTTATCAACAAGGCCAACACCACCTGGACAGTGAGACCATCTTAATCATCTGATCATTGTTTACCGCATTCCTGTCGACTAAACCTTGTTGTCACAGACTTTGGTGAGCTGCATGTAGTAACGTGTCTAATCTTGAACTTTAACTCCACCATTTTTGCTTCAGGCCGGGCAGAACTTCCATAATGTTGATATCAGCTATGTGAAGGGACTGTGTGGGACCATACTGAACGGACCCAAGCTGCCAGAGGTGTAAGTTTTAACAACAGCACATGAGGGTGTGTGGGCATGGATTTATATGTGTGTGTGTGTGTGTGTGTGTGTGTGTGTGTGTGTGTGTGTGTGTGTGTAGTCTCTCACATGTCCAAACAGGTGACAGTCAGCGGGCTCGTCTTATCTGCTTTAGTGACTGTCATTTCATGTTCAGGGTTCACAATGTTGACGGCATACAGCTTCCAGACAGCTTTGACCCGCGCCAGCAGTGGCCCAACTGTCCCACAATCCAACAAATCAGAGACCAGGGCTCATGTGGATCCTGTTGGGTGAGACTGACAAACAAAGACAAAACAAGTACAGAATAAAGAAGATATTTAATGACGGGAGGCTGTGGATGTGCTTTAAGGTGTTCAGTTTTGAGGGGAACCGAAAACCAACTACCTATTCTCAAACCAGTGTTCCTTTTTAAATTTCTCCCAGGCCTTTGGGGCGGTCGAGGCGATATCTGACAGGTTATGTATCCACAGCAATGGTAAGATCTCTGTGGAGATCTCAGCTGAAGATCTACTGTCCTGCTGTGATGAATGTGGCATGGGGTGAGTATCTGTGGAACAAAATGAGTATCTTTCAGGTCTTTTGCATGGACACTGAACGACACTTGTGTTTTTTTAGCTGTAATGGTGGTTTTCCCTCCGCTGCCTGGGAGTTCTGGGCTAAGAAAGGGCTTGTGACAGGAGGCCTGTATGACTCCAAAGTTGGTAGGTGGGAACTGGTTTACACGACTGTTTAGAAAGTTTGAAGTGAAACTGATGGTGGTTTTGTGTGTTACAGGCTGCAGGCCCTACACCATCGCTCCCTGTGAGCATCATGTAAATGGAACTCGTCCTCCATGTCAGGGCGAAGGGGAGACTCCTAAGTGTGAGGAGCAGTGCATCGATGGATACTCACCATCCTATCAGAAGGACAAACACTTCGGTATAGACATTTAAAATGATCTATCCCCACGCCCCCACCCCACCCCTACAGTATCTTCTCTATCATGCCTTGTCTTGTTATTCTTTTCTGTGTCTCCATTTTCAGGTAGACGCTCGTACAGCGTCCCGTCCCAGCAGGAGCAGATCATGACCGAGCTGTACAAGAACGGGCCTGTGGAGGCAGCTTTCTCTGTCTATGAGGATTTCCTGCTGTATAAGACTGGTGAGCCTTATACTCTATACACTGTATGCACACAAACCTCTCCCCTACACATACCAAAATACAAAACAAGAACCTGTATTGTGTATTAATTAATTAATTGGTAAATCTTTGTGACTACAAACTGCTTATACCTTCATTATTGCTGACCTATTTCTAAAGCATGACCTTAGTTTTGTCAGGGTATGTGGTAAGTAGGGGTGGACCCAAAATGCAGCCAACACTTGGGAGACGGTGCAGACAGGTTTATTAAAGAAAAGAACTTTACCAAACAAGCACAGGGAACCACAGGGGATGACAACAGGCAACAAGAACAGACTAAGGACAAACCCGGAGATGAACAGGACGAGAACAGCTCTGCGACCAACCAGACACGAACAGACGACATGAACCGATGAGGACAAACCCAGAAATAAACAGACGAACCGACCCAGACAGAGGGGAGCACAAAGACTATATAGACACAGGAGGCAAGGGTGATTGCACACAGGTGAAACACATTAGGGCGGGGCAAACAATCACCACACAGAAACAGGACCAAGACAGGAAGCAAAAACATTGACACACAAGGAAACCAATTTCAAAATAAAACAGGAAGTGCGAAAAGTCCAAACAAAACTAACAAAAGGTGTCTGCCATAGCAAACCATGACAAGTTTCTTGTTTTGTTTTCTTCCTATGAAGCAGTTTAACCTCATTCCAGAGTAAAACCAACTGGAAGCTTTGCCTTTGTGTCTCGTGACCACTTAGAATGAAGATCCCTCGCCACAGGTTAAGATCTTATATGTTATACCAAAGAGTGACTGTCCTTGCCCCCAGGTTGGGACCCACTGCCCTACAACATAGTGTAAATGTACAAAAATATAGCGATTGACTCTTACATCTTGGATGCTGGAGTTACTTGAACACACCACTAAAAGCTCAGTTTGTTCTACAGAACATCAGTATTAAATGGACTGAAATATCAAAAACCGCCGCTGTTGTCCTTTAATGTATGGAGCCCTGTGTGATTGTACTTGATATTATTATTATAGGTGTGTATCAGCATGTGACAGGAGAAATGCTGGGTGGTCATGCCATTAAGATCCTGGGCTGGGGAGAGGAGAATGAGACGCCCTATTGGCTGGTGGCAAACTCCTGGAATAGTGACTGGGGAGACAAAGGTACAAGAAAACAGTGTTTGGGAGTGGAGAACATCGTTTTTTGGATGTTGGACTTAAGTCATGTTTGTGCGTCTTCTGATTTCAGGTTTCTTCAAGATCAAGCGTGGAAATGACGAGTGTGGTATTGAGTCAGAAGTGGTTACAGGAATCCCACTCAACTAGATCAAATAAGTCCTGGCTGTAATCAAGAGACTTTAAAACAAAGACCTTTATTTTTGTAAAAACTTTAACCATTGCATTTAAATTTTTATAGATTTCATGTAATCAACCGAGATTAAAATGCACAACATGGTGAAACAAGAACCTTTTTGCATTGTTATTGTTCTAAATAAACCATCGTGTTGATCTGCAGGTTTCTTTCTTTTTTTTTCAGTGGGCTATGCAGTAGGCTGTTTTTACTGGTTCACAAGGCAATTTAAAGAAATAAAAACAAGTTCAGAGTAATCTAAAAAAGTATGAATACAGCTTTTTAAATCAGCCTATATGTGAAACTTCAGATACTTTATATGTGATATGGGCATGTGTGCGTATTTGGTATTATGGCCTATGTGTTTCAACAAGGCAGTGGTGGACGAGAATCATAATGCACGTAGCCAACACTTCCTGACACTTAGTAACTAATTTTCCTTTGGTCACTTGTTTTTACAGTAACCATTAATTATGACCTGATCACAGTGAACAACCAGTTTCTAAACTACCAACAGTAATCATTATTAATTCATCACTTTTATGTAGTGGTCAAACATCACATTGGTTTCTCTCGTTCTAAAACAATTTTCTTTAGATGTTTTATTTATTCAGAGCTCAGTTTAGAGTTTGTTTGTTTTTTCTTTCAGATTAAAAAAGATGCTAAGATGTCACAGGAAATCATACACATTTAAAATGATGGAGTTAAATGTAAAGAAAGAACAGTTGTTTTTCCATACTTGAGCCTGACCCTAAATGCAACAAAATATGCAGGAAATATATCTTTAAGACTTAAAATTTTATTATTGACATTTTAAATCCACCCATTCACCCCTGAAAAAAGGAGAAAAAAGAAAAGAAAAGAAAGAAAGAATTCATGTCAGCTGGAAATTCAGCTCAGATGTCGCCGTAGACTGTAGACACCTTGGGCTTTTTCTACCTCTGTGGTTTCCTGAGACCCAGGAAGTTTATTTGATTTATTTGTTCTGGTCGGCAGGATCTCCTCACACTCCTCACACTCCTCAATTTCCGTGGGTTTTGGTTTGGGATCAAGTGGAGCATTAAGGAGGGGCTCCTCCTGCTTGTCTGGTTTGTTCTCTGGCTTATCTGCAGGCTTCTCCTCCTGGTTCTCCTCGCGCTGATGGCTGGTGATGTTCTCTTGGGGAGGCTGCTTGTTCTCTCTCTCAGCTTTGAGCTCTGTCGAGAGCTCATGGTTGAGTGAAAGCTGAGTGTTGAGCTGTGTTTTCAGCTCCTCCATCTCTCTCCGCAGAAGCATTTCCTGCTCAGCAGTGTTTTGCTGTGCGAGTTTGACTTCTTCGGCCATCTTTTGATGGTGGGCGTCCTGCTCAGCCCTCAGGTTTTGCTCCAGGAGCAGGTGCTCTGACACCCTGACAGCATGAACTTTGATTTCTTTCTCAAGCTCACACTGAAGGTTGTCAGCCTGCTGTCTGACTGTGAGGACATCAGCTTCATACTTCTGGGTGACCTCTAGGTATGAAGCCCTCAGTTTCTCCAGGTCTTCTTGGAGAGCCTTGTTCTTCTCCCTCTCCCCCTGGAACTCAGCCGTGAACTTCTCCTGGCTGATTAAATGTGCCACCTGCAGCTCCTCATAATCTTTTTGGAGGAGTTTCTTCTTCTTCCGCTTGATGTTGCTTCGCACCTGAGTGGCAATCTTTGTGGTGCTGAGGGTTTCGTCATCAGTGTATTTTTGGAGCCTCTCCAGCTCTCTTCTGGTCTCCTTCTCCCTGTTGATGTACATTTCCTTCAGAAATTTCTGCTTGGCCAACTGTTGTTTGGTCTGCTCCAACTCTTGAGAAAGTTGGACCCTCCAGTTTTTTTCTGTTATGCAGTTGGCCTTCTCCTTACCCAACAGGATGTTGAGGTTGAAGATTTCATTCTGAATCTCCTTGGACACCATCATTTGGTCTTGGCTCTTGTCCACAACCTGTTGGGTGGTGGTCGTTTGTTCTGGTTGAGTTTTGTGAAATTTGTGATTGTTGAAGACTTGTTGTGTAAATTCTCACTCTGCACTCTGAAGAGACGTCTGTGTCAGTGGTGTTTGTGTTATGTGTTGAAGTGTTCTCTCGTTCACAGTGATCTATTGCTGTCACCTGATGATGTCACAATACACGTACAATGAAATTCTTCTTTTGATGTTGGCTTTGAACTGGAGCGTTCCATTTCTTCTTCTACTCCTTTTTTTCGAGTAATCCATTTCTTCTTCTACTCCTTTTTTTTCTGCATGTATATGTTAGAGGTACCGGGCTGCAGCACCTTCTCCTTTGAATGGAAATTTGTTTCTTCATTTGCTCGACACAAGTCAGTAAATGAATATAAACTTAGGACCATAGGAACAGTAGTTAGAGACCCTTTGAAACAAGCCCCAATTTAACTGTGCACGAGCACCATAGTTGTAAAGTACTGTACGTAAACAAACAAACACTACACCTCTGCACATGATACATAAAAACATGACAGATGAAGTCCCAATGAAGTCACCATCAAGTCTAAAGGCAGGTGTGTGGCTGCATTTCAGGTTATTACCATTTCAGATAAACTATGAAGACAGTGAAAAGCTGGACAAAAGCAAAGCTCAATGTGAGCTCTGAAGATGAAGCTGTGTGTACCTGTTCATACACAGTGTAGCTGGTGCACTGGGGCACATTAAAAACGCACATTACATCTATTATTTCTTGAGATGTGTCTAAACTGTTGCTCATGTTAAATAGAAAGTAACTGCTTTGGGTTCAAATCTTAATGTAAGCATTAATGTTTTTAATAATGCACCATGTTAGAGGAACAATTTACAGCATTAGTTCTCTGAGGAACTCATTCAAATTCAAGAAAAATTGATGTTGTAACTGAAATATCTCTAACAGAATCAAATCAAATCAAATCAAATCAAATCAAATCAAATCAAATCAAATCAAATCGGGAATCGAATCAGGAATCAAATCAGGACCTTGTGAATCAGAATGGAATTGATTCAGGAAATCTGTGGCAATACCCAGCCCTTATTCACATAAAACTATATACTGTTTTCATTGCCCTTCTTAACCAGTATTTACCTCTACTGTGCATTTTACCGTCTCTAAAACATGTAATATGTGAGACCTCAAAACATTTTCTTTATTAGTCCAGTTTTTATATCTCTACATTCATCTTTCCAAATAGGTTTTGGCTGTAATTGTATCTCAAATACATTGACACACAGAGACTTTAGCATAACAATAATCGTGCTAAACATGTTCACAGATTTATATAACTGAACTGTTTATAACACAAGTTAACATTTAAATCCAAATTCCACGCACATTTTGTGTCTATACATCGTGTGTCTATGTGTGTGTGTGTGTGTGTGTGTGTGTGTGTGTGTGAGTGCACAAATGTGAGGACTTCATCCATGTGTGTGAGCACTAAGACGGAGCAATGGACAAATTATTTCAAAGGGATTTCTTCAGCGTTGTGAATAATTCATTACAAATGGGAGATAATGACACATTTGATTTTAAAGAATCACTTGTGACTTGAGTTTACTGCTTAAGAGTGGAGTTATAAGTGAATGCAGAAATCTGGGAAATGATGTTTGTGTGTGACAAAGACTAAAAGTCTGTGACTGAGTGACTGAGTGACTGAAATATCATTGAAATAAGTATTAAAACTAGATTTTGACCTTGGGTGTGTCTATAAAACAAGATTAGGTAAAAATATAAGTGCCTCTTCAGTGAGTGTATCAGTTTTTATTGTACTTTAGTTGTGAATTAAACCAAACAAACAAGTAATTTCCCAACAGACAGTGAATTAAAAGAAAAGCTGGTATTTAGGATTTTCATATAAAGTCAATAATGACCTTGTGGCACATGCAGCAGAAGGTGGCGGTAATGTACCTAAAAATGAAAAAAAACCAACCAAAATAAAAGTCTGCGCATGCGTGTTAGTTAGCTTCCGTGTTTGAAGTCAGCCCGTGGAGGCGGAGCAGGACATGAGGCGGACTCTGTCATTGGAGCTTCTGTCCAAACAGACGATCTGCGGTCATGACCAAGACCAGGAATCAACTGCTCCTGGAAGAAACACCGCTGAGTAAAGTCCTGCCAGAGGATACCGGCTCTTTGCCGTCATCGTGAGAGCCGGTGGGATGTAAAACACCGTTATCGTTAGCTGGTGGTGATGAAGGCAGGTTGTCGGACATTAACTAAACTAACGTCTTTCTGTCAGTTGTCTTTTCCGTTGTGTCTCTTAACGAGTCATTTACTAACCGTCAGCTACCAGGTTAGCTCTCCGCTGTAGCTAGATAGATTATTACCATGTTTTTATCGCATTTGGAGCTGTGGAGAACATACTGGGAGTGTGTTTCCAGACCTTACACGGTGTTCATCTGCTCCCTCACGGCAGCACTGTACTATCTATGGGGCCGCAAGTGTCAGGTCAGTCACTGCGGTCAAGGCTAGCGGTAATGACTGCACCATATCCACTTTATAAACCAATATTTATTCATCGTGTTTTTTGTTAGTTTATTTCAATCTATTTATTTCATATAATTAAAATCATTTAGAAAAACCATCTTATCTAATCGTATCTTAATCACGATTTTTTTTTGTATATGAAGCATTTGTATATGAAATGTTAACTTAATGTTAAGGTACTTTGTGCAACAAAGTTAAGGGCAATACTAATTTTATGGATAAGACATTATGTTTAGGGCTGCAAGTAATGATTATTTGATACCAGTTTACCCCAGTTAGCATTCATAAGCAGAATATAAACAATAAATAGATGGTTTATAATTTACTATAATGCAATGATAAAGACATAGACTAATGATATTTGTCAGAACCTAACTTATCCATAAATGCTGTGTAAACAGATAATTAATACTCAGTTTAACAGAGTTGTAGTCATGTATAATGATATGTGTTCATGAGTTTGGAACAGGTATTATCAGTTTTAATCCTAATCATAATGAACTTCTTTGTTCATGTATGAAATTAATAATTATATGTAATTACAGCTATGTTATATTGGGCTATCTAGTGTTAAGTCCATTCCACTGTTTATACCCAATATATGGATCCTTTATAAGAGAACTTATAATTGTTGACAAATACAAACGTCACACTTAAAAATGTCTTTAATTCTCTGATCATTGTTTTTTTCAATTAATCAATTATTCAGTTAGTCAGTAAAATTGTAAACAACTGAAATGATGATGTTTTCATATAACTTGCCAACAGAGAAAAACTCAAAACCTTCACATTTAGAATCTTCATGTCACTGGATAGTTAAATACATCATTGTTGTATTTTAATACAACATGTTCCTTTATTGTTTTATATTGGAGAAAATGTGGTTGTGTTATTTAATAGAACACTGTGCTATTTGCCACACACACACACACACAGACACACACACAGACACACACACACACACACACACACACACACACACACACACACAAAATTTCAGGTGTTTTCATACCTCTTCGTTTTGTCTCTTTTCCTCTCAGACACCAGCTTTAGTTTGTAGTGAGGCTTTCAGTGTGTTCCTCCACAAGCACTGTCCTGTGGTGGCTGAGCGCTTCAGTCCCACTCCGTGGTGCTGGGGAGGCCGTTTTCAAACCCTGGTCTGTGCCGTCCTCAAGTCCAGACCCCCCGTCGCCTATCGCAAGTAGGAAGAACCTCCTGTTATCTTCCTCTTGCTGGTTGAAACTCACATCTTATTGTTAATTTTCAGTAAAACACTATCAGTACATGATTGTTGTCTCCCCTCATCTCTTCATCCCTCAGTGAGCTGATCCGTACGGATGATGGTGGTCAGATCTCGCTGGACTGGGTGGACAATCAGGCCAGTGCGGCCTACCCAAAATCCTCTACCCGCCCCACAATCCTGATCCTTCCAGGCCTGACAGGGAACAGCAAGCAGTCCTACGTGCTCCACGCCATCAGCCAGGCCACCCGCCGCGGCTACAGGTCAGTTGTGATCCTCATGTGTCTCCTGTGTTCAATAATTACACCCAAAAAGACGCATTAACAGGAAAGTTTGAATTAAAGTAAGCATGAAACTTATGTGATGTGACTGAGGGGAATTTAAGTGCTGAAGCTGTTTTCATTGACATTTTCTTCCCCAGGTGTGTGGTCTTCAACAACAGGGGGGTTGCAGGGGAAGAGTTGTTGGTAAGTACAATGATTATCTTTTGAATTATGGTCATTTTACATTCAATTTTCAAATGTCCCTATCTCACTGTCATTTCAACAGACTTTGTTTATGAACTAGCTTCACATTTTATAGTTTTTTTCATTTTCTGCAGAGCTGAAATTTTTTTGCGGATCGATCCGTATATGTCAGTATGTGGGGAACACTGGTTTCAGCAGTCTTGGGTGATTATTATGGTGTCTCATTATAGAGTTGTCTTGCTTGTAATCAGCATGATTATTATCCTGATTCCATCAGATTTCCATGAGTAAAAAGAAATCAGTGATCTGTGCAAATTTTGGGATGTAGATGTGAGATGTTTTTTTTTCTCTTATTTAATATTCATTTGGGAGAGAAATAAAAGAACTTTCACTGAGGTCTCACTGAGAGCCAATGTGCTCTCACAGGACTGGTGAGTCTGCCCAACACTTTGCTATTTCCAGTATGAAGTTATTATTATATATATATTATTATATTATATATTATTTATAGTAATATCTGTTTTTGTTACACTTTGGAAATAAATACAGATTTAAAAGTGATGTCACTTTGGGAAAAGTTCAAAACCAGCAATGAATTCAACAAATACTGTGGAAAAGGTGGAAAATAATGACAGACCAACTAAGGCATAGTTGGTTTGGGTATTTTCATTGGATTTGTTGACAATAAGGTGTGTAAAGAATAACACCAGCTCTAGTATATTAGGTCAGACACAAAATCTGGCACATGAACGCTGCATGTAAAGCTCCTGCTCTGTCCTGCTGCTCGCTTCAGACGCCTGTCACCTACTGCGCAGCCAACACCTCAGATCTTGAGCATGTAGTGCAACATGTCAAAGGACTCTACCCACATGCCCCTGTGCTTGGTGCTGGTGTGTCTATGGGAGGGTGAGTCAGTGTAATGGTTTCCATTGGCTTGCATTTATCTGAGAAAGTGGGTCAAATTTATCAATGATTTGTTTACATTCTCTCTTTTCCCTTTAATTACCCAACATCTTTTCTGTTTTTATTTTTGTCTTCTTCTCTTTCACCCTCTGAAGCATGTTGTTGTTAAACTACCTGGGCCGTAAGCGCACAGAGTCGGGGATGGTGGCGGGGTTCACCATCTCTGTCCCCTGGGATGCGCAGAAATCCTCCGATTCTATGGAAGAACCACTCAACTGGCTGCTCTTCAACAAATACCTCACAAGTGGCCTGTGTCGTGCTGTCACCAGGTCAGAAAGGTGGGGGGGGGTTTCACAAGTTTCTGAACTGAGTTTAACAAGCTGGCAATCTTGACTCTTTTCTTTCATTTCGTTCTCACAGGCACAGGAAGATTCTTGAGAAAGTAGTGGATGTTGACTATGTCCTGAAGGTGTGCCCTGCTCTTTACATTCACCTCTCTGTCACAGTTTGTAATCTCCCTTTATGTGTGATCAGCACTTCTTCTCCACCCTCACCTCATTTCCACCCTCTCTGTTCTAGGCACAGACGATCCGTGAGTTTGACGAACGCTTCACCACTTTGCTTTTTGGTTATAAATCTTGTACGGACTATTACCGCGATGCCAGCCCGGACAAAAAGCTCCCCAACACAGCGGTACCCATCCTGTGTCTCAACGCTGCTGATGACCCCTTCTCTCCCCAAAACGGTGAGTGGACAGCAGGAGGAGATGGAGATTGTGTTATGTATATATTCTTAATCGTGGGTTTGGATTTGAGAATCTTTATTTTTTAATTTGCGCTTTATGTGTATATTTCAGTCACCTCGCTACACAAGATTTTATTCTGTCTGCTTTCTGTCTTCTACTTCGCAGCCTTCCCGTTGACCATAGTCCGGAGCCTGCCTAACGTCGCCCTGTTGTTGACGGCTCACGGTGGACACATCGCCTTCCTGCAGGGTTTGTTTCCCCGCGGTGAGAGCTACATGGAGCGCCTGTTCGGCCAGTTTGTCCAAGCAGTCTTTGAACACCCGAGCGACATCAACAAAGCCTGTGGCATCGAGGAGGAGCAGAGGAGCTGATCCTTTTGTACTCTGAACCTCACTGAAGAACAGACTCACGGCCTGCTGTGAATGAGTATGAAGTCACTTGCATAATAACAGTAGAACAATTCACACACACACAAAAAAGAAAGTATTGCTTAGCTCTGCGTGCTGTCATGCTACCACACAAATGTTGCGCATCCTTTGTCTACGCACCGAGAGTGACCAGCTGTATTGTACAATCATTATGACCTCACTGCAACTCTGCCGATCTACCTCCTCATTGTCTCAGGTTTACTGTCAATGAACAATCCAAGAAGGTTCGAAACAAGTGGACAGCTCTGAAGTCGAGCTGTGGATGCTTTTTTTCATTAAAGAAATCTCGCAGCCAACTAATAAGCTGATGCCTAATATTGCTGTCATATTGTTTCACTCTCCTGCCGCCCCACCTTCACACAGAGCACTGTAGTGTGTATTGAAAACAAAATGAAAAGAAAATGAATCCTTGTTGGAAAATGAGTTCTTGGATTTTAGGCTATTTAATGTTATTTAATTAGAAATGAATTAAATATGTAAATTAGAAGAGTAATATTGTACTGTTACTTTTTCCTCTTGTCTCCTTTGCGTCTTTGGTTTTGTAAGACTTGTTTTTCTTGAAGTGTGAGAAGCCTTAAAGGATTTATTACACTGCCCCATGTTTTTCCCCCCTGCATGCATTCTTTACATCCAGTTTTTCAATGCACCACCAGACCACACTAGAGGAAATCCTGTTCACTTGTTAGAGCTGTCAATCTCCACCTGGAAACACTCACACAGCAGGAATATACTGTACACATCTGCCATGAAGAAAAGACTTATGCAATTGTAAGATCTAGGTTTATCAGCTATGTAATTAAAAAAAAAACTAGATCAGTGAAATGTAAAACTAAATGTCAAAGTATTGTATGCTTGTATAGGCTTTTGCAATATGCTTGGTTGCTATGTAAATCATGCAGCACATCAGAGGTAAATGAGCTGACACTGTAAAGCTCAGTGTGGCACTTATTACCTAGATATTTTTACCTGCTGTCAATAATATAAATATCTGGTGGTTCTGAATTTATCTGTGTTATAATTGCCCTTTTATTAATTTTTTTAGCCATTCATGCGTAGTGTTGTTGAATGGGTGACAGATGAAGCAATGTCACATCATGTCAGTACCATAACCACTTTCAGTCCACATGATAATTATTTAATGAGTAGTTTGTAGTTATTAGAGGGCGTTTGTTTTGGATTTAATCACTGGTTGTCACTATGTTTAAATTGAATGTCTTTTCAAATCAGCTTGGAATGTCCAGAGGGTTTTATTATGTTTGTTATCACCAGTAGAGCACTGGTGACACATGCACACCACTTTATTATTCCAGTACCAAGGTATTATTAATTTATGAGGTATATAATTTTTCACCAGAAGCTGCAGTTGTTTGACTTGATTCTTGACCCATGAACATATGAAGATTTTAGAAGCTTGTGGTGCTATTTTTTTTTTAGCAGTATACAGTTGTTTTTTTTCCAGTTTTCAGATATTTACCGTGTTCACTTGCCTTTAATTGCTGTGTCTTTGTTAATGGATGCAAAAAATTTTTTTTATGTTTTAAGTTCTGCATGAGCTGTAATCATAATCAGTGTTTTTGCAGTATCAGTTGAGATGGCTGCCTTTCATCTTAAAGACCTTTGGGCATTATGGACTATCTGTTTGGTTGTTGGTTATTGAGTTACACTTGAATTAAAGAATGACAATAATAAACATTTTAATTTCAGCTGGTGATTTTACATCTTGAATTTAAATGAAGTGATTGTAAGATGAAGACATCTTTGGCTGTGATCAATAGTAACACTTAACTCAGCCTAGGTTTGTCTTGATCAACACATATCATCATGTTGGTCCTAATGGAAAAGTCTCATAACACATGCGCTGCCTGTCACCGAGTTCCCTCCAGCTCTACCGCTGAAATCCAGCACTTTTTTTTATCTCTGAGCGGTGGGGTCGTTAATGTCGTTGATTAACCAGACGTCGTATCAATAATTAACTGAACAATAAATGCCCTCTGTCACAATGCTAACCCTTCAGCCTCATTTAGATTCAGGTAATTCAGCCTGGAAAACATCCAGAAGCGTTTACTCTGGAAAAAAAAACAGAAACCTAATGAGACACTTTACAACTCTGCTAGATATAATCTGTGAGTTGTCCTGCTTGCCCTCAGCTCTGAGAGTTTCCCACAACTCTACGTTGTCTTGACTTCTCCTTTCTGTCATCTTTCACAACAGATTAACATCATTTACTGAAACGTCCACTTTAACCTTCTGTCAGACACCCCCATTTTTTGCACAAGCCCAAAAATAGTGTGTCCAAAATAAAACGGGTTACTGTTATTAAACTCTTTTGACGGCAATCGATCTCCTTTGAAAGGTAACTACATTTTTACAACCAAAAAGTCAGAATGAGTACAAGAGACACTGAGCCGAAGTTAAAGAGGCACAAACATGGTAGAGATGTTTTGCCTCACCTGTTTCAAAAAGGGAACATCAGGCCTGCAGTAGCACCTTTTGTGTGGTCAACACGTGAGAGCCATGGCCAAAAGTCTGGGCCAAGTTCTTTATCATCAGCTGTAGCTGTGATATTGGGATCCTAAAATGCTGAAAATGCGGAAATAATATATAACTGATAAATGTCACAGAAGTCCCACATCAGTATCTTTCAAAGCAAAAAACAAACAATATGCAATTAAATTTTTAGAGAAAACACTTAACTGCTAGAATACATGTTTTGTATATAATCACACTTCAGCTGTGCACTTTTTTTTTTTTCACACCCAACCTCAGCTTTCTCTCCACTGCATCCTCTACCTGGTGTGATGGGTGGAGCCTCAAGTTATGGTTAATGATTCAACCCCAGAGCTGCTGAGACTGACAGATAGAGAAAGAGGAGGAAAGACTGAGAGTGAGAAAGAGAGAGAGAGAAAGCGAGAGAGAGAGTGAGAGAGAGAATAAAAATAGTAAAAGCTGAGGAGCAGACATGGCAGTGTAAGCTGAGAAAGTGTGCGGAAGAAGTAATGCCAGAGAGACAGCAGACAGCGACTGCATGTTTTGTGTCTGCTCAGGTGTGTCCAGTCTGTAGCCGGTCTGGGGGTCAAGCAGGTCGCAGAAGCTGTATGCAAAGCGAATACTTCTGTTCGACTGGAAGTGGATCTTGTGAGCAGTTCAGGGTGATTGTTTGGCTCCTATCATCCATGCGGCCTTTATAAGCTGCGCAGACACTCATCTCCTCTCTTGATCACACACAGCCTGCAGGTGAGTGTGACTCTGACGTAACTATTGTGTCTCTGAGCGCTGGATGTCATGTAAATCCTCTTTTTTTTTGTCACTTTGACAGCTTTGTTGAGTCTGTGCTGCAGATCCATATTTTGCCAAGTGGCTCAGTGTGTTTAAAATACTGATTACCAGCTTTAAAGGCTTGTAAAGAGCGAAATACGCCTTTTTTTCTTTTCCTCTTTGAGGTATGACAGTTATTGCAACCACAATTCTATTAAGTAAAAAGATGAGGTTCTGCACCTGCTAAAAACCCTAACACGCAGTGAAGGAGTGTTCTTCAAACATACCACCAGACTAGAAACATACTCGGAGCAGGTTCCTATTACAGGGCATCTTATGAGATTTCAGCTGTAGTTACACTTGGCCATGAATTAGTAATGAGGCAGTATGGAGTGTACAGTATGCTGGCTGTATGGGGATCTGTCTGGCATCGTGTTCCTGCTGTGCAGACACAAAGACCCCCTTATTTTTAGTTGTCTCTGCTAATTTCTGTTTTCACATTCTCTCCCAGAAATGAACAAGACGAATCTCTGCTTATAGGTCTGTTGCTGACTGTTGCTGATCAGTCAATGTTTAAAAAGTCTTTTCACCATCCGTATGATACAGCTAAAAATATATTTGACATTGCATCACATGAATAATAAAAAAAAAAGAATAAAACAGCTAATACACAACCGGCAGCTTCTTATGGGGCTCACTGTAACAACCCCCCCCCCCAGGCTAAAAGGGCAGGGTTAAACGAACAATGGTTTAAATGTTGACCAGCAGGCACTAAAGGTTATCATCTCTCTCTGCCTCAGTGGTCTTTATTTGTGGTTGCAAGTTCCTAGAAAGCTTACAAATTGTGTTTGTGCACTGCTCTCTCTCTCTCTCTCTCTCTTTGTGTGTGTGTGTGTGTGTGTGTGTGTGTGTAGGCAACAGGTTAATAAAACACCCCGGCATATATTTGACTTCCAAGTATGGTGCAACACGCAGCGACATATTTTTTTTTGCGATTACGTCCCCTGTAAAATTTTAATGAGTGTTAAGCTTTGTCTTTCCTGCGACACAGGCCTATTAACACTTGGCAGTGAAGCTGCATGGTTTTATGCAATGGACTGTATCGTCACACTGAGTCACAGGCGATGTGGAATATATCCAACATAGGTGACTGGGAATGCTGTGAAGAAGTTATTAAAGCACCTAAGGGTCTTATCCAGCTCCTTGCCACCTTCTGCACAGACCTGCGTCACAGAAACACTCTTATTCTGAGAGAGGAACAGGAACCATTTTATATTTGCCCGTCACAGTTTGCTGTGTATTGCTCAGTCACTTTATGATTTGCTTTAACATCATGTCTAATCTCAGAGCTGTTCAATGTTCAGGGTGAGGCGGTGGTAACTGGGGTCACATGATGAGCACGATGATCATAGGCAAACAACTCGGCCACCACAGGCCTCGCTAACAGGCCTTGTGTTTGTGTTGATCGTAACGTTTGGTGGTGGTGAAGACGTCTCTTTATCAAGGCTTTTGCGAAGCAGATCTCCTGGATGAAGAGAGATACCGGCTAACCCCTCGCACGCAGCCGGGCTAATGAATCCGCCTCAGTTCATTTGATAGCATGCGCACACATTCGCTGTTTGGCTGCTTCCACTCTCAAATTTAAACACTGAATTATACAGCAGAGGTTGTTAACGTCACACATCACTGTAGCAGCACACAAGCGGAGAAAATAAAGAAATGCACAGAAGGCTCACAGTCCGCAACAGGGGAACGTTTAATGAAGGGTTTTATACTGACAGGTTTTGTGCTGCCATTGGTCACAGGAACAGTAATAGATCTTTAGCAGAAGCTGGCAGGGTGTGACAGCTTTCAGAAAGCACCCTGTTGACTGTCCATCATTAGTCTGCATTATTCAGCTGGGATCTCGCTGTGTGCCGGCAGTGGAGCTCACTGCCTTGTTTATAGTTACATTAAATATGATATCATCTCTACACATATCAGCGTGTATGGCGCAGTATTTTATGTCTCAACTCAGATGCTTAATTTAAACTTCCTATACGTATCTACCTAATCTGCTGATGACTCTATGGATTCCTCCCATGTATCTTCATATTTTGTACGTTTTCCCCCTGTAGCCATGGAGAAGCAACTAGAGGACCTGAAGCAGCAGCTAGAAAAACAATGTCTGATCAACCAGGAGCTGCAGAGGCAAAATAAAGACCTGGGTAAGCACAGCCATACCGCCTTAAGTCTTGTAAGGAGGAATGCCACCGTCCAACAGGTTCACACCTGGGTTGTGACCACAGCCAGTTGTGATCTAGCAATGTACTATAGTGTAGTGATTACCAACTAGCAGTGGCGAGGGGGGGGGGGGTAGGTGCAAAGATACAACAGCTAAAGATTGGCTAAAGGTAATGGATAAACAGTTTAAATAGTTGTAATAATAGCTTAAGATAATGGGTAAATGATGAATAAATAGTAAAACTACCTAGCTAGCTGCAAAGGATAAAAAGTTGAAATAAGTAATGGGTAAATGGTGGGAATATTTAGCTAAAAATGAATGAATAAACAATGAATAATGGATAAATGGTGGAAATAGTTAAAAGTAATGAATAAATAGTTGACATAAGTGATGGATAAGGATCATTATCAAATGTTGAATTAAATGTGCCTCAAAAATCCAGTGTCAGTTGGGCTGTAAAAGTAGCTTTTTTTCATCAATGTCTGCCATGAAAGAAACAGATAAATCATGCCAGAGAAAGTGCTACA